GGAAAGGCCTCACCTTTGTTGTAAATCCTAACATCCACCCTGTGACTGAAATAACTTCCCACCCTTTTGGCTCTCCCAGATAGTAAGGGTTGGGGATGGGAGCACAAGGTAGATTTCAAAATACTTTTCAATATTTTCTAAGATGTGTAAAATGTAAAACATTAATAAAACCTTTTAAAACCCTCTAAACGTTGATTTCTTAATCTTTAAAAATAATTGCCACTTATCTGCACACCCATACCTCTCTCCCACTAGAGAGAATGTGGTGGTGGAAAGGGAGATGACCAGCTAGGAATATGTAGTTGGAGTTTATTGTTTTGGAAAGTCTCCAAAAATTATAATAAACACAGTTGATATAAATCACATCTAAGTGGCCATGTGCTGATATGCAGGGTATGGTGGTTAATTTTTTGTCAACTCTGCTAGGGCTGTGCTTCCCAGTTCTTTGGTCACACATCAGTTTAGATGTTGCTGTGAAGGTATTTTTAAAATATGTGATTAACATTTAAATTAGTGGACTTTGAGTAAGAAGATCACCCTCTATAATATTCATAAGCCTCCTGCAACCAATTGAAGATCTTTTAAAAAATTTTTTAATTAAAAATTCTTTTAAATATACATGACAATAGAATGTATTTTACATACTTGGAGTATAACTTATTCTAGTTAGGATCCCATTCTTGTGGTTATACATGATGTGGAGTTACACTGGTCATGTAATCATACATGAACATATGAAAGTGATGTCCCATTCTGCACTTCCTTCCCTTCATTCCTCTTTGTCTAATCCAAAGTACTTCCATTCTTCCCGACCCCACATCTCCCCCCTAATCCAATTGAAGATCTTGACTGATGTTCCCTGACAAAAAAGTTCTGTTTCCAGGCTGCCTTCAGACTCAAGACTGCAACATTAACTTTTCCCTGGGTCTTGGCCAACAGGTCTTCCCTGCAGATTTTGGTCTTGCTGGTACCTTGCAATGTCATGAGCCAATTCTTTAAAGTGTCTATCTATCATCTGTCTGTCTGTCATCTGTCTGTAGGTCTGTATCTATCCATCCTATTTTCTTTGGGGAACACTGATTAATAAACTAAGCAAGGACCAGATGTGCAGACAACAACCCCTGTGCCCAGGACAAAGAAAGTGACTAGGACCAGCCAGTGTAACTCATTCCCACCTCCTCCCCTAACCACGAGTCTTTTGAGCCTCTAATTCCTAGGGTCTAGTAACACTCACTTAACAATTTTTTGTTTTGTGATGGATCCCAGGGCTTCTGTGTGTGCTAGCCAAGTGCTCTACTTCTGAGTTACATCCTCAGCCCTCCTCCATTGACATTTCTTGACTGAAGGTGATTTTCAGCCAGTGTGTGATGTCATTAACATTTTAAGCTTCTTCTTCCCAAGTTGAAGAACGAAGAACCTTAACAAACCAAACAACCAACCAACTCAAGAATGTTCTACTGGCAGGTGAGTCACCTTGAAAGTAAATCTGCATCAAGTCTCTAGAAGTGACAGAGCCAGGTTTAGTGGAGCCTAAAGCTAATACAAATTTGGAGAACTATCTTTAGGAAAAAGAATACCAAACAATCTCACTTTTGCAAATCTTCAGTGATGTGTGATCATGTGAAGACCTTCCCAGGGCTTTTAACAGGACGTGTAAACTGAGAGGACTTGAAGCTTAAGTTTCCTAAGTCTCAAGTTAATCTGGTTCTGCTTCTGGGCTTTTTGGGGTGAGTCAGAAAGAAGGGTGCTGGCCTCTCCCTGAGTTGGTGCCTGACTCCCTGAGGAGGGAGGTTGGGGCTGGCTTGGTTCCTGCTTCAGGAAGACACATTTTCCTTTCTCTAAAATCCAGTCTCAAGGAGGCCCAGGCTCTCATCTCTGGAGGCCCTCGTGGCTCTGCAGTACTAGAAAGTGAAGGCAAAGGCAGACTTGACAAATCCCAGGCTGCATGATGAAGGTATGCCCTGACGTGCAAGTACCGCCCCTCAGCTACACTTGATCATATTTTTACCAAAAATCAATTGTTCATATACAGTGGAGATCTACTTCTGGACTTCTTCATGTTCCATTGATTTATTTTTCTATATTTACATCAATGACATGTTGTTATGATTACTATATGCTATAGATTGTGTCTCCCCCCAGAAATTCATATATTGAAATCTAATCTCCAATGTGATAGTAACAAGATGGGCCCTTGGAAAATGATACAGACCCGAAGATGGAGCCTTCAAATGGATCAGTCCTCTCATAAGAAGAGGCCGAAGAGCTGCCTTGCACTCTTTGTGCTCTCTAAGGCTATAACAGAACATCAACAATCTATAACATGGAAGAGGGCCATAAACAGAACTGACCAAGATCACACCCCATCTCCGACTTCCAGCCTCCATTAACGTTGAGAAGTAAATTTCTGTTGTTTTTAAGTTGCTCGGTCTATGATGCAGTGTGATAACAGAATAATACACTGTAGATTTGTAAACTTTCCTACTTCTTTTTCAAAGGCTTTTTGCTGTTGTTGTTATTCAGATACTTTTCATTTCCATATGAATTTAGAATCAGTGTGTCAAATTTTATGAAATAATTTTTATGTAAGGATTGCTTTGAATATATTGTTCAGTTTATGGAGAACTGGCATCTTAACAATGCTGGGCCTTCTGACCAATGAACAAAGAATGTACCTCCACTTATTTCATTTTTAAAGATTTTTTTAACAACATTTTGCAGTTTTTGATGCTTGAGTAACTCCCTTATTTTATCAAATTTATCCCTATTTTGATCATTATGCCAGTTTAAGTGGTATTTTTTGGTTTTAATCTCAATCTGCATTGTAAATATATATAAATAAAAGTGATTCATGCACCCTAAAAAAATAAATAAAATAAAATCCAGTCTCCCTGCCCAAGCCTTGCCAGTGTGGGCTGTTGAAACTTGGCCTTCCTCTTTCCTGTCCCTTGCTTCCCTTCTCCAAAATTAACCCTTGACCAAGTCTCCAGGGACTGTGGTCTATGCCCTTGAACGCTGTTTCTTTTCTTTTCTTTTTTTTAATATTTATTTTTTAGTTGTAGTTGGACACAGCATCTTTATTTTTATGTGGGGGGCTGAGGATCAAGCCCGGAGCCTTGCACATGCTAGGCAAGTGCTCTACCGCTGAGCCACAACCCCAGCCCAGGGTGCTGTTTCTTTAGAGGGTGTCCAGTGGTATTTTCCAAGGACAGTGTGCAGCCTGCCTCTTCTTCTGCTTCTTGAAGCTCTCCATTCTTCAAGGGCACCACTTCTGGCTGCATGGGGAGAGGTGTGACTGCAGCAGCTTCATGGTGGGCATTTTCTCTATGACTCTTTCTTCACATCTCTGGCCAGCATCTCCTCCCTTCTTCACATCCCTTTATTCAGACTTCCAAATACTGTGTTGTGGGAAGCCACTCGGAAGACCCATGCCTTCCCTCCTGAAGCATTAGGCTCTGACCCATCACTACATTTCGTGGTCACCTGAGTGTTGTCTCAGCCCAGGAAGTTGAGGGCATGTCTTCAGAAGCTACACTTACCTTTTCCTTTGTAATCCTACCCCTTTGCCCTGTTTGGGATAGAATGTTCCATAGAAACTCCCTTTGTATGTCCCCTTCTCTTACTCTGCCCTTGGATGTGGCCTTCCTAGATGTCAGTCAACCTGCTGACAGCAGACATCACGAAGCTAGACTCAATCCCCTGAGACCTGACCCCTTGCCTCATTTGAATGGCTTCTCCCCAATAAAAGGGTTCAGCACGTGCTCGCTCTCTCTCTCTTTCCATGGACCCTTAAGGTCAGCGGAGCCATCACAGGACCCAGAGAAAAAGGTTCTTGCATGATTATTTTGTGCAGCCCAATTCACCTGGAGTGACCCTGAGTGTTTTAGTCACGAGGGACACGACACACTGTGTCTCTGTCTCACCTAAGCTGACTCATATTATTAGAAGCAGATTGTTTTCTTTCAGATATTTCACCAAATATGTGGATTTACTTGTGTCTCATTCCAGGAGAGTTCCAACGACGGGCTAAAATTTTCTAGAAATCCCAGGGTGCAGACATCTGCAGGTTCTCTCTGAGCTCTGAGTTCTTGTATCTTCAGAACAAGGAGATCAGTGACACTGTTTCATGGCAGTCCTTCCCCCTCTGTTCCCCCCAGTTCAGATCTGGGCCTTTTCTCTGGTTTCTCCCCAGAATCATTCACACAAGGCATAATATGTGTAAGAGACTTTACTGAAGGAGTTGTAATAATAAAATTGTTTTACATCACAGCAAAAAGAAAAAAAAAACTTAAAAAAAAATTACATTTAAATCATCCTAATTTTTTATAACCACCTTTGGGAATTCCTCCTTGACCTTTTTTTCCCCTCACCACTTGAGACTGTGCTAATTTGATCATCTCCGCTTCCTCCTTGCCACTGACCTCTCATCCCTTACTCTCTCAGGAGACAGAAGTAGCTCATTTAGTTTAAGTTAAAAAAAAAAAAAGACATACAAGTTATTTATCCTGCTACATTTAATGTGAATTAAAAAAAAATAGAGAAAGGAAGAAAACATCTCACCATTGTGCAGAAACAGACCCCTCTGTCTTTCATCCACTGAAACACTTCTGCAATAGGCACACGCCTCAATCCTCCCCAGACCCCCACTCACCCTCCTTCACCTGTTTCCTATTTCCTCACTTCACATCCTCCCCTTGAATCCCAAAAGCTATTAGAGAGAAGCACTACTGCTCGTTCACACTTCATAGGTGTGCATGGCCAGGAACCATATGAATAATGGAACAGCCAAGGGACTCACCTGGGGAGAACAGAATGATAGGTAAGAAGCCATTCTTGGGGCTGAAAGGTTTATTTCAGAACAAGGAAGATGGCCCCTGGGATGGAAAGCCATACTTTAGATTCCAGGACATTTCTGTGCTATCCATGCAGTGGCCTCCCTTGAAGTTCTCATTACAATATGCATGGGAGAAAGACAGTTTCAGTACCTAGATACCTGCATCCTACAGCATGGCCTCTGCTCTGAGCTTGTCTAGCTCTCCACCATTGGATTCTGTGGGGCACGGCTGATAACTGGGATCCAGGGTCGCTGTCTGGGAGGAGCAGTGGTGATGCCAGAGGCTGCAGAGACCATAGATGGCAGCCAGCAGAGCAGCCCCTAAGCCCAGGTGCCAGCAGAAGAAGATGGAAAGGAAAGTCATGTCCTTGGGGTTGTCTGCCTTCCAGGGTTGTCCAGAAGGAGGACTGTACATCACCACAGATAACTGCAGCATCCAAGTGCTGAGCACCATTCCCATCCAGGTCTTGAGCACCCAGAGCGGAGGCTGGTCAGGGACCCAGACCTCGATGTTGAGCACCAGGGCTACCAGGAAGGTGGGCACCAGGAACAGAACGTGCACCCGGATCTCCAGGGTGCTCTTATTCTCAAGGTGGGCTATCATCAGCAGCACCAGCACATAGAAGGCCACGGCCTCAGCGGCTCGCTCCAGCTTCCTGCTCTGCTGAGCCAGACACAGCTGGCTGACAATGTCCACCACGCCACTGAGCATGAAGAACAAGTACATGGTAATGTGGTGCCAGGCGTCCGTGAACATGAATGGCCGCTGGGGGTCCTCCCAGTCCACCATCTTCATCCGGTTTATCCCTGGTGGGTAGAAGAACTCAGTTAAGATGCCAGTGAGAGTAATCACCACCTTCACCATTCCTTCCAGTAGTACCCGCTGCCACAGCCTGTGTCCTTGTTTTTCCCTTGGGGGAAGAGGTGGCTTGAGGACCCTCTGTCCCCGTAGCAGAGCCAGGGACACTAGCACTGAATAGTAGAGTGCGTAGAAGAGGAAGAATGCTGCAGCCAGCAGGTGCCCCTCAATGGTTCCCATGGCGTCAGTGAGTATGTAGAGGCAGACTGACAGGACAGCAGCTGCACATGAGCTGCACTGTCACCAGCTGTTCTCACAAGCCTCTGAGCCACACAGAGAAAGAGACAGCACCCCAGGAGCCCTGCTCTGCCTCCCACACACAGAAGGAATATTCTCACTGTGTCACCTACACCACTCCCAGGGTGTGGCCTTTGTGGGCTGTGACACTTCAGCCATCGCACTGTGCTCCTTACTGAGATCTGCTGGGTCTAGGGTTTCAACCTCTGCACCTCCCTGAGGCCATCTGCTTCCCCATGCCACTTTGCCCCTTCCCTTGCTGGTCCCAGTGCTCTGGTGCTTGAGCCCCCCAGGGAGGAGAGAGCGAGAAGCAAGGGGCTCTGGCAAAGAGGCCTGGTAGGCTGACTCTCTCAGGTGGACTGTCTTTTGGTCCCAGGCATATTACATAATTTTATTTCATTTAAATTCCTCAACAACTCTGTGAGGGAGGTATTGTTCAACAGACTTTATGGGTGAAATGAAGAGAGGTGACAGGACATGCACAGGGTGGTTCATCTAGCAGCTGGCATGGTGGAATTGGGGTGTTGATCCAGGTCCACTGCCTTATGAAATAGAGTTTGTTCATAGCAGAGTTTCTGAAATCCAGCTCCAACACCTGCAGGTTACGTGACTATGGGCAAGTTACTTTGTCTTCTTGAGCCTTGGTTTCTGTGGAATTTTCCAGAGTGGAAATTATAATTACTTCACAGGTTTGCTGTGAAGATTAAATAGGATAATATATGTGAAATGTCTGAATCATAGTAAATACTCAATAAATGGTGGTGATGATTAATGATTTCACTTTTGTTATTAGTGGCATTCCTTGCTAAATTCCTATGAACCCAAAGAAGCATTTCTGTGAATGATACCAAAGCAAGAAACATAAAGAAGTAAAATAATTAATTACAACTTTAAAATGTTTATTTTTTTATTAATGAAAACTAAACATTACATTTATTTATTAAAATTAGTTAAAAAATAAATTTTAAAAGAAAAGCAAACTGTCAAATTTTATCCCATATGTAGCAAACTATTCATTTCCTTACAAAATAGAGAGCTCTTAGAAGTAAAAAAGTTAAAAATAAACACCTCAGTTGAAAAACGGCAAAGGATGTAAAATACCTAGTCATACCAAGAAAAAACAATAAATGTCAAAAAAGATGAAATTTGAGATTAAATCTGACGGGTAAGGTAATAAATAAAATCAGCATGATACCTGTTATGGACTAAATGTTCACGACACCCCAAAATTCATGTGTTGACAGTCTAATCCCAAATGTGATGGTATTTAGAGGTAGGGTCCTCTGGGAAGCAAAAGGCTTAGATGAGATTATGAAAAGGGGACTCTCAGGATGCAGTTAGTGTTCTTATAGGAGGAGGAAGTGAGAGACTGTCTGTGAGCATGCACTGAGAAAGGCCCTGTAAGCACATGGAAAGAAGGTGGCCATCTATAACTTGGAAGAGGCACCTCACCAGAACCTGACATGTTGGCAACCTGATCTTGGACTTGTGGCATTTAGAACTATGGGAAATTAACACCCAGTCTATGTCTACATTATTTTTTTATAGCAGCCCAAGATGACTAAGAGCATTTTGGTACTATGAAATGAGATGCTGCTGCAAATGTCTAAAATTTGGAACTGTGAGGGGTAAAAGGTAGAGTATTATGAACTGAATGTTTGTTCCCTCTCCCCTCGATTCTTATGCCAGAGTTCTATCTCCCATTAGCATTTGGAAAGTGAGGACTTCAGGAGGTAATTAGATTTAGGTAAGGTCACAAGAGTATGGTCCCATGATGGGATTAGAAGATGAGACACCAAGCTCACTTCCCCATGTGAGGACATCCTGATTTTTTTCGCATGTCACAATGAACAGTATTATCTTTGCAATCAGAATCTATCTGAAAACTTGAAATCAATTATGCAATTATTTGATGCCTGGGGAAAGCCTCTGATGTGCAGGCATCAAGATGTGGTAATTTTTAGATGGTAGTTTTATTAATTTGTGTCTCTATTTTTGTTTTTCAAATATTCTACTCTGATTTTATTTTATTTTAGATAAATTTATTAACACGAAACACTTCATAAGAGCTCTTTTCAGCACCAAAGTTTATACATGTATACTTGTGTAATTATTTATGGACATATATGTGTAATATTGACAACTTTGAAAGGCACCCAAAAACACAAGACAAGTCCTATGACATAAGAAAATGCCAACCCAGAATGAACAAGTATTATCATTTGTCCTGCTGGCTTCCAGGGTTTAAAAAAAAATAGATAAATTAAACCTTCAAATCTTTCTAGTCCTCCTCCCACACCTCCCTTCTTCCACATGGTAAAGGAATATCATGATTTGGTGGGGAGGCTTCCTGTCATTCCGTTTTTCTCTTTCTTTCTGTCTGTCTAATCATTTCTATGTATTGCTAGTTCTGCAGTGACAAGGAACAGAAGGAACTCTTCCTCCAGCAAGGCACTGGTCATGCCTCAATTAGAACCCATGTAAGTGGAGTTCCTTTGTAATGAAGTCAGTGCAGTTAAATAAAAAGGGGGGGGGAGGGGATTCAAGAATCATGCAAAAATACAGTTGATGGGAACCATATGTCCAAGTGGCCATGTTCCAGATGAGGCGAGCGCACAGATGTGCTGGTATTAAATTCCTCCGGATTCCTATTTTGTCCACACAATAATTAAAGGTAAGCAGGACTCACCTTTATCAACCACTCCAAAACGTAGCTCTGGGTGTCTAGCATGTCTGTCTCTCCCCAGCTCACAGATCGCCATTGGCTCATCATCCACTACCCTGAATCCTCTGGCTTTCCAAAGGAGCTGGTGTTGGATAATAATCACGTATACTTGTTGACTGATAGATAAATCTCTAGCAGATGAGTTTCAGTGATATCTCACTCTGTCATTTTAAGTCTCTCAACTCCAGTTGAAGAAGGAAAATCCTGAATTTTTCTCACAGATAAAGGAATCCCTGGCCTCAGCCAGCAGGTGCTGAGGTGTGTTGGTTCTGGGGCAGGGATTCCTGAAAATAAACCAGATTCAGACCTTCTGAGCCAGTTATCCTCAAGGCTACCCACAGGAATCATGGGGAGTTTTAAAAATAGCACCTCTGCTTGGGCTTCTCGCCTCCCCCACTCCAATGTCTGAGTTTAATTGCCCTATGCTTGGACTTGGGTTATGCCTATTCTTAAAACTCCCTAGGAACACAGAAAAGGACAAATACTGAAAGATTCCATTGGTATGAGTTACTTCGACCAGTCTAATTCAGAGGTAGAAAATAGAAGGACGGTTTCTAGGGGCTTGAGAGGAGGGTGGGGAATTATTGCTTAATGGGTAGAGAGTTTCAGTTCAGGAAGGTAAAGAGTCCTGGACAGGGATGGAGGTGAATGTCCTGAATGCCACTAAACTATGTACCTAAAAATGGATAAATCGATACATTTTGTGTTATGTATATATGTTTTACCACAAAGTAAAAGTGAAAAATAGAATCTCTGAAAACCACTTTATACTATCTGAGGTCACTTGGAAGGGTGGGTCCTGCCCTCTTTCTGGAGTTGACTCCCTACTCTCCTGGGAGGCCCAGCTGGGTGATGTACTGGTTTCAACTTTTCCTGCTACTGGGGATTAAAGAAATCCACTTTTTCTTTAACGTGTGGTCTGACTCCTGCCCTTGACTGGTCCCAAAAACCTCCCTGTCCTCTTGTATCGCTTCTGCATCTAGTAACAACATTTTGGAATAGGTGGCCGAATGGCAATCTATCAGAAAGGGTTTTATTTTTTGTTCCCTGCTGATATCTGTGGCTAAAACCTCTTTCCTCTTTTCTTGTTTTCCAGACGTGGGCAGGCTTTGTTTGATTCACTCCCTAATCTGACTCATGCAGGTATAAATCACACAGGAATAATAACCAGGCAGTTAATGTCAAATAGGGATGACCACATGTCCACAGGGATGACTAGTTCTTTCATCTTCTTAATAAAATGACATGCTTATCTAGTTTGTAATCCAGATGTTAGTGGAGGTCATTCTATATTTTTGAAAGTATATATTGTTGACTCACTCAGCGCTGGTCCCTCACTCTAGAGGAAGTCCAGTGCTCTGTCCAGGGTTTCTGAACATTCCACAGCCTGGGCGTCCCCTCCACCTGGCCCAGTCTGAGTCTGCTCAGGCAAACAAACCTCACAGCAGCTGCCTTGTAACCCACTTTAGCACTGAACAGAGAGGTGACTCAGCCTCTTTCCTCTGATTGGGACTTTACCATCCAGAAAACAAAACCACATCACTTACAAAAGGCAGTTGTTCACACGGCAGGCTTATTGCATGAGTGAGGATGTTGATTAGGTCTTACATCATTCAGAAACAGAACTCTCAATTGATTATTAGATTGAGTATTAGATATTTCTGTTTTTAAAACCTTCAGGAATTGTTAGCCAGAGAATTAGGCAAGAGAAAGAGGGGAAAAAAAAAAAAAAAAGATCGGACACAGTGGCGCATGCCTGTAATCCCAGCAGCTTGGGGGGCTGAGGCAGAAGGATCGTGAATTCAGAGCCGGCCTAAGCAAAAGCGAAACACTAAGCAAATAAGTGAGACCCTGTCTCTAAATAAAATACAAAATGAGGCTGAGAGCGTGTATCAGTGGTCGAGTGCCCCTGAGTTCAATCCCTGGTACCAAATAAAAAAAAAGACGCATCTAAACAGTAAAGAAGATAGTTAAAGGTAGTTAAACTATTCTTGTTTGCAAATGACATAATCTTAGGTATAGAAAAGCCTAGCCAAGTGCAGTGGTGCACACCTGCAATCCCAGTCACTCAAGAGGCTGGGGAAGGAGGATTGAAAGTTTGAGGCCAGCTTCAGTAACTTAATGAGGCCATAGGAAACTTAGTGAGATCCTGTCTCACAATAAAAGATAGAAAGAGTGGGGATGTGGCTCAGTGGTTAAGCATCCCAGGTACTAAAAA